TGCAGTGGGCGATGCTGGAGGTCTGGTCCCCCAGCCCGCGCGGCCGGTGGGGTGTGATGTGGAAGGAGCGAGGCGGGCTCTTGGCGAGCTGGGCCGAGGGGCGCGCTGCTGGAGGGAAGGGGAGCGAGCAAACATTCCCTCCTCTCACGGCCCGCCTCTCGGCGCCGGGAGTAGCCCCACTGCCTCGGTCCTGCCCTGGCAGTCTCCCCCGAGAACTCTTGAAAGGCTAACTCATCACATGCTGATCGTGAGTTATGCTCCAGAGAATGCGGTCATCGAAGCTGCAGGGCCCCTCACTAGGATCTGCACCCCCTCGGGCCCGGAGACAGGTGCGAGGTCCCGTCCACTCCCCTGCGGGCCTGCCCGAGCCAGCCTGGGGGTCTGACCACATGTTGGATCGTTCTGGCCAGACCGGTGAGGCGAGGCCCCATCCTCATCCCTCCGCTCAGTCCTTGGTGGCCAGTCATGCTGAGCCCCCACAGACAGGCTCACTCTTGGTCCCTCATGCCCTCAGCTTGGACACTTTGAAGGTGGTCCTGCGACCTTGAAGGGCATCTTCATCTCCCTTTGACAGCTGAGAGCCTGGGGCTCAAAGACGTTGTTATACTCTGTCTGACTTGTCCGGTGCTCTCCCCCCCACACCTGCTCCCCTACATCAGGACTCCCCATGAAGCAGGCAGAGGTACCCCAGGAGGGGGATCAACAAACCTTCCTGAAGAGGAGGGGTAGGACATCACCAAGGCTCCCTCCAAGCCTGGACAGGCCATGGGAACCCCAGAGGCCTGGCTGGCCCCAGATGTGTGTATGTGCAGTTGCCTGGGGTGAAGGGGTAGTGTGTGTTGTCACTGTGCAGCAGGAAGGGGATGGGAACTGGAGGAAGCAAAGTGCTACAAAAGCAAGGCTGTCTCCTGGACAGCTAGCTCAGCCTGGTGTCCATCGTCCCTCCAACCTACAGTGGGTAAGGCCTTCTGAGAGGACCAAGGTTCTCAGGGATGGACATACCCCGCACTCCACGCCCCCCTACACACACACACCTGAGAAATCAGGAACTCTAACCACAGAGCAGGCAACATGGGGGTGGAGAGATAGGCTGCGGTGGCTTCTACATCAGCACTCACTCTTATATCCTCCATCCCTACACACAATTGGATACATAACACTCTCAGCTTCATTAGCACCCTCCCATTTTATAGTCGGGGACACTGAGGTTCAAAAAAGGAAAGTGACATGTTCAAGGGCACACAGCACATACCAGTAGCTGAGGGTAAGAAAGAGCCAAGAGACCTGCTAAATGGGCTAA